CTGGTCAACTGGGAACTTGCCGAGCGTGTATGTATACATGGTCTTGGGAGCCAATGCATAAGCGCTGACAATAACGACGGTGATAATTACGGAACAGAAAGAGACGACCACTATCGAAGCCGGCCGGACGGTCACTCACTGAATAAGAGACCAAACTGGCATTAAAACATAGGGCAAGTTTTTTTTTAATTTAAAAACTAAAGACCGCCCGGGGTGAAAGAGTCGGTTTATTCTTAAGAAGTCGTGATGCCGTCTTTTTCCTCGCTCACTGCTGCGCACGAAATCATCTCCCGGAATCATTTATATTCGCCGCAGTGTTGTTGTTGTTGTTGTTGTTGTTGTTGTTGTTGTTGTTGTTGTTGTTGTTTTGAAATAGAAAATAAACGAATGGAGTATTTGTCACCGTTACTTGGCGACGGCTACCCCTTTCCACTTAATTGGTACAAATAAAAATATGAAAAAAGCAATAGCATGTATACATATATACAGTCCTACATGGGTGAGAGCAAAAGTTCTCATATATGGGCAGAACAAACACATAGACGACACGCTCACATTTAACTTTTGTCCGCTCAGTAATTCGTCACAAATCTTCGTTTCTTCGAATAACTGTTGCAGCATCTTTACTGCTTGGCTGTTTGTTTTGGGATGGCCATGGACCTAGTATTTTATTCAACCTGAATGGTCGCTCACGATCTAACCTATGCAGTTCTTGTTCTAGTCGAATTCGGTGTGTGTCGTGTTTTGGACAGTCGAGCAAGAAGTGACAGATATCCTCGTCGTCGTGGCCGCATGAACATGCTGACGATGTTGCACGATGAATACGAAGTAGGAAGTGCTTTGTGTAAGCAGTTCCGGGTCGTAGGCGATGAATGAGTGTGTCGATACGTCTTGGGAGGTCATGGTCTAATTGGTATTCAAGATTAGGATCAACAGAATATAGGATCGATTCCTTTGTTTTGTCTGTAAACCAGGTAGACAGGCATAATTCACGTTTTGTTGTTCTTAAAATTCTATTTACATCATATTGAGATACCGGAATGAGGCACGTTTGCGTAGAATTATGAGCGGTTTTCGTCAACTCATCCGCCATTTCATTTCCCTTAATTCCGCTGTGACTGGGGACCCACTCAAATGCCACTCGATGATTCGACTTCGTAGCTTCTGAGAGCTCTTTTAGTGTAGCGTATATACTATACACACATCAATGTGTCTTGAAGTGGCACTTTCCACACATGCCAGTGCTGCCAGAGAGTCTGTAATTACCACCCATTTTCCTCGTGTCATTGACAGTTTAATAAAGCTTATGGCTAGCAAAATCGCTACGAGCTCCGGCGTTGTAGAAGAGAGGTGGCCCAACCGACATGCATATTCTTTGTGCAATACCGGAATTATGAATGCTGATGTCACTGTCTCTTTGGTGACGGAGCCGTCCGTGCACACATGAGTGTATCTTTGGTACATGTCAAACACATGATGTGTTGCCAACTGCTGAGCGGCAACGGTTGGCACTTCATGTTTGCTGCGAAGTCCTTCTATTGACGTTTCAATAGCTGATAGCTCAAGCAGTCATGGAGGGTAGTTTTGGTCCAGTGGTCAATGTGTCGACACAGGAAGCCTGGAAATGTATTGTTGGTACACATGGTGTATTTGCGCTCCAGCACGGTTCACGATGTTGGATATGAGCGGATGGGAAGGGTGTTGCGTGACTAGACGAAAGAGGTGCCGACATGTCTCCACATTTCTAATTACTATAAAGGTGGGTTCTCTTGCCTCTGCCAGTGTCAAAGAACTTGATGTTGCCTGTGGAACCCCCAGACATATGCGTAAGCTTCGTGCTTTGTAACAGCTGAGGTCGGTGTAGCGACGTCTGAGAGATGTTGTGGAGAACTGGCGCAGAGTAGACAATTGTCTGTCGGATTAGTGCACAATGCATGTGAGGGAGAGACGCTGATGTACCGCCCCATTTTGTGCCCGCGATGCGACGTATAACATTTATGGTGCAGTTCACTTGATTTTCTAGATCAGCAATATGCTGACTCCATCTGAGTTGGCTATCTAAGGTAACACCAAGGAAGCGATGCTTTCGTGCGATTTCGATTCTCTGGGCATACACAAAAAGCTTCAAGTTTTTCACTCTTTTTCTCGTGAATGGCAGAACTACAGATTTGGCGTGAGAAATCTGCATGCCTCGCTCTTTGAGGTAATCACTTATTGCGTCTAGTCCTTGTTGAAGCCGATGTTCGATCACTTCCAGTGATTTGTGATACGTCCATATGCATATGTCGTCTGCATACATGGATATGTTCAAGGCTTCGGGCAGTACTTCTGGAAGACCTGCCATTGCAGCATTGAAAAGTTGTTGTTGTTGTTGTCGTTGTTGTTTAGAGAAGCAGACTGAAAGCAGTCTTAAGTTCTTACTATACCTTGCCGCTATTACTGCGGACTCTATCTACAATTTGATCCCGACATATATATGAACTGGACTAAGCCCATACAT